GCATAAACAGAAAGACGGCGGCTCACAACAGCACTGCTTGAGGATAGTCCTGCGCTATCATATGCTCCGGTATCATCGTGTAGTGCTGCATCGTGGCCATTTCAGTAGGATGTTGAGCACCGCCAGCACCGGCATAGTGAACACGAAAATCGTGTGCCACATAGTCGTTAGCATGAGTGTAATCTGGTTTGAAATCTGGTTTGTATTCGTGCACATCAGCACCTGCTGGCGACTCATTCTTCTTTCTTCGTGTGCGGCGCTGTTCTGGCGATGACGCCGGCGACAGTATTCCCGTTTGACGGTATCTGAAAAGGAGAGAGTTAGGAAGTGCATAGGCAGTTTAGGAGCAAAAAGTTTATGCACACCGAAACAGGAAGGGTTCTGCTCAATACAAAGTCGTAGTCGCTTTTTGAGCGAAAATGCTTATTGCAGAAAATTTAGCAGAGGAAGACCTAGGAAGTGTCAACATCCCCGGCTATTATCGCAGCACGTTCGTATATACCATGGAATACAGTGCCCAGTAACTTCTAGTTGTACATGAAGCAAAATCAATTATGCTCCTATAGTGAGACCAACATGACCACATAACTCGCCCGGCTTTTGCAATTATTCTGGCAAAAGTTGTTAAGGAAAGCTGCTGATGAGCTCGCAAGTATGTGTGAACCCTTACTTCACAAGTACATTCGAAATCGCTGAGATGTGGTAGGCGTGGCTGCGTACTCCAACAAGACGTGGCGGTGGCTGTGCTTTAATGAGATGTTTTCATTTTGACACAGTTGTGCTCATGTCTCTGTCCAACACAGAACAAGATGACAACTGTCTTGAACTGGAATATGGCACGAGTAGATTATTCCACAGCATTTCCAAATGCCACGCCTACTCCGTCTCAGGAATAAACCGTGTATATAAGCATGACGCCCACAAAGGGTTGACTGTAATTCACAGTCCACCCTTTGTGGGCGTCATGGGATCATGTCATGTACAGGACACATCAGCGGGGTGTGCTAGACCTCCGTAAGTAGGGTAGGGGTGGGGTGGTATTTGACTTCTGGGTGAGGGTTGCAAGCAGTGACTCACTCAAAATTAGCCTTCAAACTAGTGCAAAAGTGTCAAAAGTGTTAGAGTGGCTCTGAAGATCGGAAATTAGGGCAAGAGTTCATGACGAAGACATCCTGTAAATGATCACCACTTCAAATGTTTGAGGTTTTTGTATTCACAAGGGCTCACGTGAAATCAACAATTGTCTCTTATTTTACAGTGTTCAACTAACCCTGTACTCTCGAGATCATACCTGCTGATAATTTTGCTGACACAACCATGCGAAATGCACAATGCTTTGGATATTGCGTTCACTTTCATACCGCTCATATGTAAGTCGATAATTTGCCGTCGTTCGGCCATCGATAGTGGTCTGCCAGGGCAGTACGGACGACCGTATAAATTCGTGCCTAAAACCTACTTAAATAAATGACGTTGCCATGATACTATCTCTTTTTGAAAGGAAAACAGTGAGCTAGTTCGAGCATTTTGGCTTCAGTTGTTGGCAGCACAACGAGTAAACAGTGTTTTTACTATGTTTTGCTTTGAGCGGTCTCAAAACAATGTATTTATTATGTTGGCGGGAAAGTTCTGTCACACTTTTTCGAACTCAAAATACTTGCCCATTACCTGAAGAGGGGTAACCGGTAATGTGAGCACTTATACATCAAGGAGTGGTCTTTCTATTAGTACCACTCGCTTGACTCCTGCTTTCTTCTGCAATATGGACAAGGATTTTATCCGCTACCATCGGCACCGACCCCTCCAAGCGCTTCCTCAAACTCTTTCTTCCACCACCCTGACGCCAGCATGATAGCTGCAGATGCCAAAATAATGGAGCTGAATAAGGGCGATGCCCCATTATCAGACAACCTTCCAGGACGCTGATGCCCCGAAGCGGGAGGGAGCCCAAGTTCGAGGATGAACTGAGGTTTGGGTTACCTGCGGACTTAGATTGAGGGAGCTGTGGGTACTGAAACTGCTTAATGAAGAAGCTGCTTCCTCGGCCAACCCTGCGCAAAGCAGCTGAGATCTGAACCAGATCAGAGGGAAAAATGTGTCCGCGCAGTCAGTCTTCAACGTGACAGTGCAGCCTACTCCATCCAAAGAAGTTCATACCGTATTTCATGCAATAGAGCTGGAGGCTCTCCTCTTGCAAGGGTGTAGCACAGATATTGCTCCTTCTAACTACTAGTTGCCTCCCGTGCTCAATGGCTGGCCTGCATTGTGAAGCGATGGCATCCATAAGGTGTTCAAAAACTAGAACCCCGCAGTAACATTGCTGTACAAGTTTGATCTTACACGCCTCTCTATAAAAGAAAGCCTAATTTGAAAAATGTGACAGAACTTTCCGGCCAACCTAATTCTTAATCACAATAAGCAAACTGCAGAGGGTGAGACCAAACGAAAGCAAAGGATGCCGACCCGAGAGGAGAAAAGGTGCGAGCAGAATCGCCCCAGCACCCCATCATCTTCACTTGAAGTGGAAGCTCACTTAGACGCGTCCCCATTGAAACTTCACGCTTTATGCTTGCAGGTAAACCCTCAAGACGTATCCAAGAGGAACGACTGCAGAAGGCTCATGTGAAAATCATTACCTTTCCTACGTGGTTTCCTAACATCGTCCCGTTTAACGGAATCAGTGACAGTTTCAGGCAGCACATCGTTGTCCTCCGGCACTTCTGTGGTAAGTGGAGGAGCTTCTAGCGATGCATAATATGTATTCGATACCGACGGTGTCATGCCCTGAAATATGAACGTTCAGAATCTGTCTAGTACGTATTTTTTCTTAATACATCACATAAGACAACCAAAAATACAGTAGTTCTTCCTATGGTCCACGCTTCATAGCTACGCTCCGGAATCATCTACGTCAAACAGCTGACTAATAGCAACGAGGTTACCTTAGGAGCTACCTCACGTGACACTCAAAATTGTTGTCTATCTATTGGTCTTTGGGGCCACTGCCTGATTTGGGCAGCGATCTATTTCACGAGATTGAGATTATGGCTGGCAAGATAGTGAAGACGCTCCGTCTTGCTGTTAAAGTGAAAAAAGAAGCAGTTGCTCCAAAGCATCCGGAAAATACAGTTACAGTTAGCAGCGGGAAAATACTGAATCTGATGTGTAAGACAGGAGCAGCCATACTCCACTATCGAAAAACCCAAACTTTTGGCGTATCATATTCCTACGGCGCACTGCTCATTCTCATGTACCAA